GCCCCAGGTGTCGCGGCGCTCTCTGCGACCCGTCGCCGTTCAGCTCGCGGGTCCCTGGCGAGCAGAGAGACAATTTCTTGTTGCCAGACTCGATGCCAACAGGGACCACTGTAATTTGTGGCACAAAAGCTTGGTTCTGCAGCACTACCGGAGCTGGGCTAGTGGCTGCGAGCTGAACACTTCCCCCTCCCAAATTTTGGGCCTTTTGCACTGTAGCCAGATTCATGTCTGTAGAAGCCCCTCCTTCAGGGCTATTTCCAATGCTTTGCTCACTTAGCTCCTTGCTGGATTGCGCTTTTGTCGCTTGGGAGCAACCAGGACTTTGCACAGCGTCTGGTCCCGGGGAGGAACAGTTTGAGAGCACAATGCTGCTCGAAGCTGAACCTGCAGCAGAAGTCACTGCTGGCAGAGGAACACGCTGCACTTGGCTGCCGGCACAAGCAGCTGCTGCGGGTTTGTTCCCTACTTGTGCAGAAGGAATGACTTGGTGTGGTGGATGCTGGATTATCATAGGCCCCGAAACCAACACCTGTGGGGCAACAAATACTGGCCTCTGCACAGCTTTATTAGCCTTGGATTCCCTCAGCCGCTTCTCCCTCAGCAATTCCGAGACAGTTTTCGGCTTTTGCCTTTGAACGTGGGTTGGAAGAGCTGCCTGCGCAGCAGGGCCGAGCCTGCTGCTCTCCAGGACGCCGACGGACGTGTCCCTGGCTTTGAGCACAACGGGTCTCCTGACCGCGTTCTTCGGGATCCCCTTTTGGGAGGGCCTCTGAGCACAAGGGTGTGACGAATCGCCTGGAGAGGGTCAGGAGAGGGGAAAAGTGTAAGAAAGAGTTTGAGTAGCGTTTTCAAAGGACAAAAAGTGAATAATGGCTTCTAAAGTCTTCATAAAAACAAGTAGTCAGTACATGCAGAATTCTCATTTGGGAGAAACAGGGATTTCCTGCAACACTTCAGCATGGATTTATTCAAGCCCTCTTCTGAGGTCCTTCAGAGAGTGCCAGTGCTCCCCCTTTCCCTTCAGCGTTTTTGCTGCTCCTTACCAGCGGGGTGACAAACTTAGCCAATAACTGAAAGTTCCAGGAATTAGCAACAATGAGCAGGACAACATAATTTTGTTCCCAAAGCTCTCCCTTTAGTTAAACTGGGGCTTAACAGAATGGTGAGGAAGTGAAAAGCTTTGCACGTCATAAAAATAAATATTCTGATAAGTACCTGAAGTCTCTGCATTTTGGGAAGCCTGCCAAAAAAAAAAAAAAAAAAAAAAAGTTATACTCTGAGATAACTAAAGATCATTAAGACAGCATAGACATGAATCAACCCCACACCTGCCAACAGCCTATGCAACTGACCACATAATCAGCATTTTATTGCACTTTAAAGTAAAGAAGCAGGTAACACATGCACACAAACAGCACCACTTGCCACAGGCAGGTAAAAACGTCTACTCGAATCCGAGCTCAGTCAGAAGGATGAGAAGCAGAGCACGTGCTGTACCTGCTGAGGCCTTCGCACATCGGCCTTGAGGAGCTCGGACTGCCTTAGCCTTCTCTCACGAATAACCTTCATGCAGCCGTTGGTATCAATCTGAAAGAGCTGCAAGATGAGACTTGTCTTAAAGTCAGACTCAGAACAAAGACCTTCTGGTGGAGCTGGAGACAAGGAGGCTTCACATGAACGATTTTGGGACATTCTTTGGGGACTTAGAGATATTCCTGACAGTATTAGGCTTTGGGTATCGGATTTAAGAAATATCACAGGTATGCCAAGAGGACAGACTTTTCTAGTAATTACACAAACAGTTTAAGTCAAACATAAACTATTTGTTTCAGCATAAATACAGAAATAAAGATCCCTCTTCTAAAGTAGGGAAGAGCATTAAAACAGTAAAACCCACCTGAATGAAAAGCGTGAACAGGGGAGTGCTCGTGAGACTGATGGACCTCATCTTCTCCTGAATGGCTTCGGCTAGGAAAGAGTCCAACATGAAAGTTAGCTGGACCTTCATTTACAAGATACCAGAAAGCAGGGGCAAGAAGCCCTACCCCGATGCGTCTCCTCTACCTTTAGTGTGATGGAAAGCCATCTTCCCGGGCTGCAAGGTGCAAGGCAGCAGGACGTTGCCTACCCAAGGTGTCACTGCCATGAGGAGCCTTCTGTCGAGGTTTATTCTTCTCAAACGCTCTCTCTCTTGACGATGAATTTTCTCCATGCTGTTCTGCAGCCCCTGAGGCCCCTGGCCAGCAGCTGGGCTAACTCCGGATACTTCTGTTGAAGTGGTGGCAGAAGGTTTTACTATCTTTGATTGCTGTTCATGAATAAATAAATAGTTAGGATTCCAGTTAAGACAGTTCTACCATAATTACTCTTGGACCAGTCTAGCCACAGGACTCTAGAGTGCACAATGACTATGAAAACCAATTACAAGCTTTTCCTCTTGGACTAAAGCCCAGGATCTGTTAATTCCATCAAATAGCATTTCCCTTTATAAACAGACAAGCAGGTAAGAAAAAACACTTACACGTTTCCTCTGAAAGTACGTATTTTTCCTTAGTACTCTTCTCACATTCTCCAGGGAGATGCGTAGCACTTGCTTGCCACATCTGGAAGCCTAGAAAGCATAAGAAATGGGATGAAAAGGAAAGTATCTGATACCTGTGCAAGGTTGGTATTTGCTCAGTGCTTGATCAGGGATTAAAACACAGCTCCAAGTCAGTTTCCTGCTGGCTTCTGATCTAAGCTCCAACCCCATCGACAACAGAGTCCCCACATTCACCTTGGTCACCTCTTCCATGGGGTTCTTCACGCTGATGTCGGAGGAATGCGGGTGCGCGATGCCCCTCAGGATGGTGTTCAACTCTGCCGAGCCACTGGCGACTCCGGCTTTGCCTCCATCAGTCGGTGCGCAGGGAACGTCGCTGCTCCCCGTCTTCGCTTGGGCACTCACAGAAGGGAAAAGGGATGAAGTTGGGCATCTTCCCTGGTTGGACTCCTGTGGGTCTGTCCGTGTCGGTATCCACAAGTCCATGCTAGGAACGGCACATTCCTCCTCCTTGTTTGGCTCCTCTGTCTCCTCCTCGGAACTTTCTGTTATCTCCAGTTCTTCCTCTGTTTCTTCACTGCTACTCTCTGAAGAGCTGGAACTCTCTCTGCGCCCGTGTTGGTGTTTCCGTAGCTTAGAGCGTTTGTCCTTATTTAAAGGGAGCACAAACAAGCCTTAGCCAGTGCCTTGACCTGCAGAACTCTCCAATTAGTACTAAAGCCATTAAGTTAGAAAGCTTTGAAAGGCAGCATCCTGTCAGTAAGCTGTAGTCTCTAAATGGATGGTTCTGCTTTATTTCTAAGATTAAACAAATCCAGTACAATTCACATTTGGTTTTGGACCTACATTTCAATTGTTTCATATTTTTGTAGGCAAAGAAAAAGCTACTGGTGGAGACAAGCTAGTGCTGAGACCTGGTACATGTGGAAGGAAAGGGGAGTGCATTTTTACAATACCTTAGACCCAATCATGAGTTTCCACTTGCTCAGACACTGGGAGCCCGTCCGATGTGGCAGCTCGGAAGCTATTTTACTCCAGTGACCTATAAAGGATGCAAAGCAGAGCGGACCAATTAAAGCTACACAATCTGATGAAACTATTCCTCCTCTAAAACATCTGCTGGACAATAATAATACTCTGGGGCAGGTGAGAGGTTTTTCATGTAAAAAACGTTATTCCAAAAGCAAAAGACCTTTGCAGTGCAGAGTATTACAGGCTATCTTGTATAAGAGACAGAGTTACTACATGAAATGTATTGTAAATCCCCAGTGCTCCCCTCTAAACAACCAGGCATTAGAGCTACAGCAAATGGCTACAGATTCTATTACACAAACCCTCAATAACTGATTTCCCAGAAACAGACAATGAAATATCAGGAAATTTTTAGTCATCAGTAGGATGCAGACACTGCTAATGTTGGCCACGGGTTTTTAATTCCAATAGAAAGGAAGGCAACTCAACAATACTTTAAAATTTTAGAGATTAAGCCGCAGTAACACTTACCCAGGCCATGCTTTTCCACCAGTTCAATGAGCTGCTCCTCTTCCTCCAAGCTCCACTTGCCTTTCTTTACATCACAGTGCAATGCTTTTAAGTACCTTCAAAACGAAAGCATTAAAGCAAGGATCACTCAGCCCCGCCTGTACAGTTCTGGTGCATAATCTAAAGCTGAACAAAGAAATCAAGTCTCATCAGGTCTGTCCTCTTGCTACGGGGTCCAGCCCTACTCCCTTAATCAGCACCTCTACAGTCCCTTTTGTTCTCAAAAATACCAGGCCACGGGACTAGGAATTAAGAGGCAGCTGTAAAACAGGTTGCTGGAATCGGGACAAACGACCCTAGTAGTTTCCTTAGGTCAGGTCCTGCACTGGGAATCACTCAGCCCCTGTCTCACTGTTGGTGTTCGGTCACAGGCAGTGATCACCTAGCTCAGTGTCACAGAAACACAGACTTCCTCCCCACCTTCACTCATTCAAGTTTGGTGACCCCTCTGTTTAGCATAAGCAATTCAAACAGCTTTGTAAAATAAATTATATCGTGGTTCTTGACAACAAATTTGAAAGCAGACTGCGACATGTCGTATACTGACCGATCTCTGCACTGAGCATCGCTTCTTCCCGGGACTTCTGTGCGGATTTTATACCAGTCACGGGCTCCATACTTCTTAACTGCACTCAACAACATCTAAGTTAATCAGACAAAGCAAGAGTTGAAATTTTCACCACTAATAATGCTGACAGACCTGAGACAAAAGCAGTTGACCCTACTACCCTGTGTAATAAATCTGACAACAGAAGTGTCTGGGAGCTTGTAAGCACTCCTAACTTGTGACCTGCCTGTCTTGGTCCATTTTATATTCTTTCGTGTCACTATTAAAGCCTAGATATACACGTACATGCAACACTGCAGCAGCCTAACCTTGCACGTACTACATGTCAGAGCAAGGAGCTTACAGCATCTTCCTCTGGTGTCCAGGGTCCTTTCTTCAAGCTGGGATCCACGCTCTTTGTCCATCGGTAAATCAGCTGGGTAGAATCTCTTCCTTCCATGTAATAAGCAACTAGAAATTTAAAAGCACATATTGAAGTCTGTTGCAGACAGTGTTTCTTCATTTACTTGCACTTTAAGTATTTCAATCTCAGTTAAATACTTTAAAGAATCAAAAAGATTCTCTAAAGAATCAAAAGAGCACAGCACACACAAAACATTATGTTTCAACCACATATGGAATATGGATAAAGACCACGAGATACATTAAGTTCTTTCAGATTTGGTGAGACTCCCATGTAGGTAAAGGAAAACTTCACTGCTGTGTCACTAAGAGATGGAAAATTCAACAATTCTCTATCTTTCCTATCACCAATACAGGGTTTCCAGCTATCAGTATATAAATGGTTTCAAGACTGGCCAAAAGCACAGTTATGTTTTGCTCAGATCACAAGCTAGAAAGGTAGGTAGGAAATGCAAAAAGAGTTGGGATTATTCTGGCAAAAGCAGCATTCATGGGAAATGTGACTTTGTCAGTTCTCTGAAAAAGAGCAGGCTGGGTGTTCTAGCAGGCAAAAAACCCTTAACAGACATAAGTTTGGGAGAATGGGAAGAAAAATCCCCAAAGAACTAAAGGACCATCACAGGTGAATAGAAGAAGTTCTCAGTTGTATGTCACTTAATGTCACTTACTTTTCTTGTATGGGATATGACTTCCAACTCTCATCTCCTGGATGAGATCTGCAAGCATCCGGTCTTCTTCTTTGGTCCATTCTTTCCTTTTCAAGTCTTTGTTATAGGCTTGGTACTTCTGCAGGCACTGGAATGCAGTCCTGTTTGTCTTAACACAAGGAAAAGAAAGCTCCTCACTGAACTGTGGAAATTCATGAAGAAAAGCTTCACAGGACAAGCCTATCTTCTGGTGTCACCGAAAAGCTCTCAAACTTCAACAGTTATAAAACCTCTACTTATGGCATAAAGCAGAAATGTTTATCAACATTTATAATGTTCTACTTCAGCATGCAGAACGTATTTTATTTTGGTACTATATTTGAAGGCTTCTCAGAAGAATATTTCTTAACAAAGAACTAGCATTAACTTTGGTTTTCCAAAAAGTTAACATGAGGCACATTTAATGCCAAACTAGCTTTTGGCCTTACTTCTCACTTCTGAGCCCACACCACCTTTAACTTTGGATTTCCAAAAAGTTAACATGACTAGCTACTAACTAACTAGCTTTTGGCCTCGCTTCTCACTTCTGAGCCCACACCACCTTACCCCCAGTTCCTGGGCTATAGTCTGCCAGTGCAGATAGTTGTGATTAGCAGCTATTTCCTTGAGCTTCTCGATTTCCTCCTCACTCCACTCCGTTTTGTTGATGCTCGGATGCTCCCAATTTTGCCAAAATTTCCTCAGTTCTTCTGAATTACGATGCCCATCGAACTAAGAGAAACAGCAAAGTCAGCTTTGTCTTGTAGCTAGGACTGAAACACTAATACAAAGAACACGTTTTATAAAAATTCTATGTGCCTTAATTGCTCAATTATATAAAATTAAAACAGCAAATTTAAGCAATGACATCAAATTGTAAGTACTCCTGTTCCTGCCAAGTTGAAATCATACAATAGGTAAATTCTAGAAACTTGCAATGAAAATAGCAGATACAAAGTAAACCTAGCAGGTAGCTCTCAAGAGAAGAGACATAGATGTCAGAAGTAATAAAATAGCAGACCTCTGGACTCACATGGATGTTTGAGATTTTATCCCAGTCATGCTCATCAAACCTGCTTCCTAGCAAGTCGCTTTCTGGGAGTTGGCTAAAGAAGTCAGGCACAAAATGGACACAGAGAAAGAAGAAACCACATTAAACAGTTAATTAAACAGTCAATTTCTCTATCCAATCTCATTCCATCTTATTCCTCTCAACATTTAGTGATTTTCATGAGAGCTGAAGGCTTAATACCTCACAGCTTCAGGCTGTAAAATACGTAACTTTGCTCAAAACAAGGTTCCTTCCTTACTGGATTTGCTCAACTGCTTTTACTCAAGTATAAGCAATGTAGCACTGAAATACAGTTTCCTGGTGGCAGGCAAAGCTCAGAACTACAAGAATCCTCAGAGCCCTCTGCCTCCTTGTTGCTAAATCAAGGACTGATTCAAGCAGCACTTCTGCAGTAGCTATATCACATTTGTGTATCAAGATCCAGAACACATTATTATTTAGTGAAGAGTTGTCAAAATGAGAGCTCTGATGAGCTTAAACATTCATTAACCTCTTACAAGCCAACACAAAGAAAGTTTTCTCCAAAGGCCTCATCCAGAAGTGTTCAAGGAAGTAACCTCCAAGAACATACTTTAATTTTCACAAATAACATTAAAAGATGACTTCTCACTTAATCGCCTCTATTTCTCGTTCTGCTTCTTTGATTTGCTTTTCCAAGATCTGTTTCTCAATTTCTGTCTTGACTTTTTCCAGCTTCTGGTTCCAGTAATCCAACCTGCACAAAGACAATTTCATCATTACTTAGCCCTGCGAAACGAGAACAAGGTCAATGGCAACAGAAAAGGTAGGGGAGAAACAGTTTGTGTTGACAACCCAAAAATGTGCTGAAGGGAGGTTAAATCTCCTTATATTCCCTCTCCTTTCCCACAGATGCAACATTCTCCCAGGAGAGCTGACTTTCTGCACAGTACTCACTTCAGTAACTTGGGCTGAAGTAGGCGCTGCAAGCGGTCGCTTACAATCGATTGGTGCAATAAAGTCTTCTCTCTGCTTTTCCCTAGAGACAACAAGACAATCTCTGTTGAGTCCTCATTTCCAAGAAGGAGCCCCATGGCTTTCAACATCCCTTTGAAGGTACCCCATTTTCACTAGAAACTCATTAGCTACAGGTTTTTGTGGCCAACCATAAGGGCAGAGGTGCTATGTGGGCTAGATAAACAGACCGTCCTCCCCACCTGACAGGAAAACAATTCCTACAACACCCCATTTACTCTTAACCATTTTTTTTCTGTGGATCCAAGCATGGAATATGAGAAGTGCTGATGTTCACAGATGGAAGGCGGAAGGGGAAAGTTAACAATATGAATATATCCACTTGTTACAGCTCCTTTAGAACACCCAGCAGCAGATACAGTTTCTTACATTTTGTTGCAATTAGTTGCTCAAAGGATTTTATGCCTTGAGCTGCCTTTTCCCTGGCATCTTCGTTGGATGGAGGGCCCTGGCAAAGATTAAAAAGGATATTAGAAGAGTCAAATACACAGAGAAATGGTCCTTACTTCTTAGAAGTGTAGCATGAGCTACAAAAAAAAAAAAAAAAAAAGAAACTAACTTGTGGAAAACCATCAAACTGATCAGTTACCTTCATGAACATAGTCACAGATATTCCAGAACACATTATAAAACAAGCAGAAACAAATACACCGAGGAACTTCAAGCAAGTTAGTGGCCTGCTTGCGTTAGCTGAGAGTTGATTAAAGAAGCACTTGGAATGCGAGCCACATTTTATGCATGTTTGTGCCAACTCAGTCCACACTACCACCACAGGTAAGAATAAACACCACAATTAGCAGTTATTCGTTGAAAATTCTATTAATGTATATAGTGATGACTGATATCTTAGCTACAACCAAGAATCAGGTCCCTCTTTTGCCAGAGATCCTTAAAAACACAAACATACAAAAGCAGCATTTGCCTCAAAATTCTGTTCCAGACACAGCCAGGTTTCAATGAGAGTATGAAGCAACAATGCAAAACTGGTCATGGAGATGAAAATAATCATGAAAAACAAGATAATTCCATTGCTTTACGGCTGGAACATCACTCCTCAGAACTTACTTTGAGATTTTATAGTGAGACATGGCTTAAACAAATATTTCAAAATGGTATGTTTGTGTTCTCTTCATGTCACACAAAAATTATCCCGACTATTTCTCGTCAACTCCTTTTGACCATATCATCTTGACAGGTAAGATTGCAGTGAGGGAGATTTTTGCAGTTAGAAGATGTGAACTCACACGATGCAACGAATTTTCAGTTTGGTAACATTTACTCAGAATTTAAGGCACAACTTAAGTCTATCGCTGACCTGTATACGTATATTGAAAAATAAATATATAACATAATTACATTTACTTACAATTCCTGTTGTTTTATCCTTAAAGTATGGCTTCATAAAATGACCCAGAAATATATTCGACGGCAAGCTTCGACCATCTCCTGCTTTTGCTGGTTTGGGACCACCAAGCTCCCACATGATTTCCTTCTACAAGACAAGGAGTGAAGGGCACATGAGCATCCCCTTGGAATTCTCTCCTTTCAAGGAGCACTGGCTGGGCCAGCACAGACATTCCAGGCTGGGTTCAAGCAGTTTGCAGCACCTGGCTGTACATTAGTGCATGTTTTGGGCACAGGCTTATATAACACAATATTCAAAAAACAACCAACCCCACAACCTTGCTATAATATGTTAAATGCAATATACAAAATCGCTAGATGCAGCATTTTTTGGTGACAGGAAAACAAGGAAACTGGAGAGGAGTATAAGCCATCCAAAGGGCCAGTGAGGTGCCCTGGGTTGAGCTGCTGTGGAGAGGATGAGCTCCAGTCTCCCAGCTCCTGGCCAAGGAAGGTGGTCGCTGCAGCAGCGCACACAGAGACTCCACCTGCTGCAGCTGATTCCAATGGGATGTACTCCGCAGGTTCCGGGAAGTTTTAGTGGACTTGGAGGGCAGAGGAAGATGCAAAAGTCAATCCAGAAGAGTATCTTAGTTGTGTTTCAGTTACCTGCTGTTCCCTGTTTTGTGCAATCAAAATTTCAACTTCCTCAATCTTCTCCTGGATAACTTCCTGGTACACGTGGTTCATCTGCAGACAAGTTTCTGGATCTTCTGGGAGACTATTTTCAATATCATCATCACTACTGTCCTCTTCCCTTTCTCCTTCCTTCAGGCACGTGAGGTGTTATAGAAGACCATTAGAAAAAAAAAAAAAAAATGAGTGTTTTAGAAGCAACGCAGGGTGATAATTATTTAACTCAACGATTCACTTATGTTAGAAAAATGGTTTTCAGGAGAACTGGGTCTGAGCAGCCAGCCTTGTCTAGCTCCCATCTTCCTGCTTATTTCTGCCTTGTCTAATTCCCTTCTTTCTGCTTATTTTGGTCTGATACTTGAGCCACAGAGACTGACTCAAAACCCTCCCAAGAGCTGGGCCATCAACTGCAGAACTGCAACTAAACTGCAAGAACAGCAGTACTGGAGCCCCCTCATCCGGAGGCAGCACCATCCTCTCAGACTCCCCCCTCATTTGTACTTGAATGAAGTTTTGAAGCAGTTTTCCCCTTGTACGGGGATGGCTCTGAGTTTCATGGAAGTGCTGTATAAGATCCAAAAAAGGCAGCAAGTCTGTACAAGCAGCTAGATCTGTCCTCAGAAACTGGTGTCTCTAGGTCTGGTGTGGTTCCAGTGACAGCTCTCAGCAGAGAGCAGCAAGGCCTGGAGCAGCAGCTTGTGAGCTCTGTAATTTGTTTCAAAATTAAGTTTCTGAACTACATGTGAATAGCAAAGAGCTTGGCAGGAACAACTAAATTTCCAGGGCAATTATTAGACCTTCCTGAGCTGCAGAGACAAAGAAGGTACCCAGATTTCCCCAAAACAGCAGGAAAACTCCCATCCCTTTGCTGCCTGCTCCCTTCAATGGGCAGACAGAGGTCATGGTTAAAAGGTTACCGTTTCAGCACGGGAATCTGAGTCATCATCTTCAACATCATCATCATCATCTGCCAGACAACAAAAACACATAGGCCGGTTGCAGTGAAAAACAGGCAGCTTTAGAAATAAGGCCTTTTCAATGAACGCATGCAAAATAAAACACCACACAGCATCTCAGACAGGACCACGAGGGTTTTCAGGTACCACCAATGTCGTCAGACAAAGGTGACACTTGGTTACAACCCTCCCGGCCGCTTGTTTGCTCTGGGGCTGGCAGCAGAGCAGCTCCTGGTGACAACAGCCAGCAGCACCTTGGGGCTCTTAGAGCTCAACGCGACGCAGGGACTCCACGGTGCAGAGCTGAGCGAATGCCCCAAACCAGCAAAAATGGAGCTCATACGTGGGCACCCACACAGGCCGCGGCAACGGATGGGGACACGGGCGGCCGCGGGGGCCGTGACGGGCAC